CTACGACTACTACTACGACGACTACGACTACTACTCCTACTACTTCTCCTGCTCCTCCTCCTGCTGCTGCTGCTACTACTACTACTGCTACTACTACTGCTACTACTGCTGCTACTACTACTACTACTCCTCCTCCTCCTACTGCTACTCCTACTCCTATTCCTACTGCTACTGCTACTACTTTCTACTACCACTACCACCACCACCACCACCACCACCACCAGTGCTGCTACTTACTGCTCGTGCTGGTGCTATCGCCGGTGCTGGTGCTGGTGCTAGCGCCAGTGCTAAGTGCTAGTGCTACCGCTACTGCTACCGCTACTGCTGCTGCGGCTGCTGCTGCTGCTAGCAGCCGCAAGGAATAAGAAGCAGCAGCAGCAGCAGCAAAAGCAGAAACCGCGGCAGAAACAAGCAACGGCGCACCACCACCGCTGCTGCCACAACCACCACCACCACCACCACCAGCCCCATCAGCATGTCTCCGCAACACTACCCCAGCTCTACGGCTTCTCTCTTGCGGCTTTCACATGCAGTGAGCACAGTGACTGCCAGCGTGGTGGCACGAAATTCTTCTAGATCCAGGCAGGGTACATATGCCAAGGCGGCAGGAACCGAAGACCACAGAAGCGCTTGTGCCATTGGCTCCTGCTCATGACTTCTGCTGGCTATCTGCGACAAAAGCCTGTGAACACAGAACTTCCGTTGCAGCAACTTGATAACCGGCAATAGACCGGGGCAGGGCGTCCAGTAGGACCGGGCAATGGAAGGTGTCGAGTACCTGACCACAGGTTGAGAGCATCTCAGAGCCAAGCTCCAGGGAGCTGCCTTACTTAGGTTCGCAGACCCACCTGCCGGACGAGGAACAACGACACGTGGGGCGCCAGGGTTCGTGCCTTGGCTGCTGTATCATCTTTGGCCATGTTTCGATGCGCTTCCGTTCGCGGGGCTCCAGCTGCACCACCAACTCGATGGGACGATGAAGTGGTCAATCCGGCCAGCAGAACAGGCCTGAGAGCACGAATCTCTCGGAGAGCAGGCATCACTGCCAGCAGCAGGGTTGGCCAAGCATAGTACAGGATGGCTGCATTAAGCAATCGATCCGCGAGGACCTCGCCAAAAAGAGCTGTGTAACCAAGTGAAAACCGTCAAGGACAGCCGCAACAAAAGATCTTGCATGCGGACACCTCATTAAGCTCCTCTATACCCAGTTCAAAAACATCGGACAAATAGATTTGCAGGTCCTGCAAAAGTAGCGCATCTCTGCACTTGCAGCTTCAAGGACATCAACTTGTATGTCCTGCTGCAGTTCGTTCTCACGCTGTACCTGAGATAGATTGTCCTGCACCGGCACCGGGCGAAAACCGAGTGTCATGGTGCTTCTTTCCGCCCACCCCCCGTCCCCCGAAACCTCTAGCTGACCAAGCACTTGGCAGCACTCGACTCTCACAAAGTGACTCACAAGCCTTTCGGTCTCGGACCTCGAATCTACTCTCGCCTCTCAGAGTGGTGTTCGAGTGTTGGGCTGTGCTGCACGCCTGCATCACAAGACAACTTGCCTCATCCGCAGTGTTTAGCATGCAGCTGCCACCCAAGGAAAGCTAGGAGTGTCTCATTCCTTTGAGCTTGTCCGTTTCGGACCAATGTCTGAACGAGGTCCTCGCCCGTCGCTTTTGCAGCAGCGGCATCGAGGCGCAACCTTCGTTTTTTGCGTCTGGTCTCCATGGAGGCTGGCGCAGACATGCAGCAGCCCAAGCACAGCAGCAAACTCGTGCTGCACTGAGTGGGGAACCACAGGTCTTGCAAATGATACGCCAGCCTCTGCAGGGCTCGATGCACCGTTATGGCCCTTGCACATTACCGCTAAGCATCCGACTGGCTGAAATAAGACCTGTCGCGCTGCTTCTTCTCTCGATGACAAGAGCGACTCCACTTACGCAGCGTCAGTTTTGTACTCTGGCTTGCCTGCTGCATGCGTCTACAGTGCAGTATGCTTCTATTTGGAAAGTCTCGGTGGTTTCTTTTCGCCCACAGCTCCTGCAACATTAAAACCTGGGCCAACTGCTCCGCTGCATGTCGAAGAACAAATCGGCGCATTGGCTGGTCTTCGATTTTGTAGACCTCGAGCAAAAGGACGGGTCGAGAACTTCACACCGCTTCTCTGCACTACCCGTGCAAGTCTGAACTTGAGAAGCGGCCACGAAAGCTGGGGCAGAAAAGGAAGCAGAGTCGACAGAGCTCGGGCAGCATGGATGCAAGCACATGCACATGCCATGAAGCCTCTTACAGCAAGATGACAAATGGCGTCCTTCTGCTCTGTAATGGCCCCATTACAAAGAAACACTTGTCGCATCGTAGTACCTTGACCGACCTCATTGCGCCCCGGCATGTCCCTGCATAAACAATAACTCGGCCATCTACGAGCAGCTTCGAATTGTCGTGGTGGCAGCTTCGCTAATTACTGAGACATCAGAACCTGCTACGTAGACGCACCCCGCCGCGCAACGACAGAATGCAAGCTGCCATATTGTTTCAAGACAACTGTCCTAGTGACACCGTAGCTGCCTTAGCTGTATACTGAGGCATTTTTGCAGCCAGGCCTCCTGAAGTGTTGCCGGGATATCAGTGCGAGTACTGCTGAAATATTAAATAGCTGGACCTAAACGGGGGCCGGGGCTTCCCCCTACCCCCCCCCCCCAAACTATTGAGAAAGGACCAGATAAGGTCATGGACGCAATTTTGACCTGGTTCCCTACTACCTGGGTGAATTGTATAACAACCCCCGCAAGCTCCACAGAGAAACCTTTCGTGAAACCTGAACAGCCACCAGACTAGGTTGAACAGGCCTGCAAAGTGATTGTCCTCACCGTTGCCCGGACCATGTGATCGCGATGGCCTCAGCAAAAGCGATGCAATGCCTCACTGAGAGCTCAGGCGCCATCCTGCCCCGCCCAGTCCCATCCTCGCTTCAAGTACCCGCAGTGGCAATGCCTTTTCGCCCGCTGCCGGTCATGCCTGTTGTCCTTGGCGGTTCGCACCGCCCGGCCGAATCGAATCACGCTGAGCCTCTAGACTTTGAAGCGCGTGCTCATATGCAGCGCAGAGATGAGACAGATCCGACCCAAAGCTGAGTTGTTTCACGCCAGTGCTGTGAAGGATCTGCATGCGAGCGCATATCGTCATCGCAGAGCTTTTCACACCAACGAACAGCATGCAACTCGCAGGAGCATCGGGGCTTCAGCGCAGCTAGGAGCACTATTCTGGCCAAAACTGGAACTGTGAAGCATGCAGGATATCCACCCTTTCTGCTACAGAAGGTCTCATGGTAATCTTCACATATATGATCTCACATGAAAACAGGAGGGAATCTGGTAACGTGAGCCTTGAGCCGGTCGACATCCACGAAAAAGAGTAATGGCTTATCGGCTGCTTCGCAACACCTTCTTTCAAAGGCTTACACATTTCTCATGGCAACAGCATGGTGTCACATCTGCTCTTGTTTTCTGCCCTAGCATGCTGCTCGGGTTCGTCAAGGGCCAAGCTCAGGTGCTGCCGAATGCGCTCACATCTGTCAAGCCTGGTTCCACGGATGGCGCTTGTCGAAATTGGGGTGGATCTTGTGAGTGTTCGGCCGGGCTTTCCAATAGCATGTGCGCCTCCACCGAAATGCATCCCACTCACAGTCAGAGCGTCTGCGCTTGTTCTCTGCCAGCCGGGCACACACCTTCCACTTCTTCTTGTAAACTCGGTCGCAGTGTGCCAACAATGTAGACGGGAAGTTCATGCCGGCACGTTTGTCAGGAATGGGAGGAGGAAACTGGTATGCCTCCTCTCCCACGGGGTACTTGTATCCCATGTCCTTGCGTCGCATGTAGTCGTGGCGGTTGAACATTTGCTCTGTCGCGCTGCTAGTGCCCGAGTCGCTGCCAAGTTTGCCGGCACTTGGGGCTGTTGGAATCTCAGCTCGGGGAGCATGAGCAGGAGGTGCGAAACCTTCGGGACTGGAGCCCACCACGGTGAAAGCTGCCTCATACTGAAAAGCGCCACCCATCCATGTGCGCACGGCGAAGGCGGCGCATGCGAGCAGCACCAGCAAAGGGGTGGACGCCCCACGCTGCGCAGCCATGTTGCCAGGAACTGGCGGCTACTCCGCGCGATGCTGATAGGCGAAAGCAGCGATTGCATGGACAAGAGCATGCTTAAGCAAGACAAATAGCATGAGCAACCGTAGACGAGATGTTGCAACTGAGGCTGCTGGCTGAAGAACTTGGTTGCTTCAATGTAGAGGGGAAAAGACGGCCTTTCCACAATCTCTTCACGATGCTTCCTGGTGTCGATGCAGGCTGAACCCTGCATGTGCTGAGCACTCGGCTCAGGGTGCTGAATAAAGAAGAACCTGCCACACAGCAAGCCAGCGGGCTAGGTGGCCGCACATACGCCACACATCGCATGTTGTCAGGCGGTGGCTTTATGGATTCGTTATCCAGGCGCATGGCCAAGGACCTCGAACGGCCGCACCGGGAAACTGCCCTGACATGCACCAGTCACAAAAGTCCAAAACTAAGCCTTCAGCTTCATAAGGGTGATATAATAGGCGAGAACCTCCTCATCGTCAAAGTCCATGTTTGTGGACTTGAAGGCAGGCTATTCATCTGACAACTAAGCAGCTAGTTCTGAACAGGAAGAACGTCTGAGACTGATGCCATGAGCTTATTCACGTGATTGTTGCTCAAAATGTAGTACACGGACCTTTCACACACGTGAATTGAATACCAAGTGTGCAGCTTGTGCGCGGCACCAGAAACTACATGATCTAGATGGTGATCTACCCGGTTTCGTGCACTCCCCTTTTCCGGTTTTGTGGTGTCCATTCTGCTGATGGTGTCCTCTATTCCTGTACTGCCTTATCTCCTTTTATGGACCGGCAAAGTACTTTTCCTTCTCGCTCCGCCGCAGCTGTAAAGCTACTACCGGGAAAACATTACACAATGCAGAACTCGCGCAAAAAAAAGTGTCAACAGACTACATCGTAGATGGAACTGACGTTCAGCCAAACTTTCGGTACTTGCGAACCTCCCGGTCCTCAGCAAATGATACCCTGAGGATCATGCGTCTGGCGGTGAATGTTCTAAATGAGCATCGACAGAGTCTGCAACAACTGCAGTTTCACCTGCTCCCCGCCGGC